CTTTCCCATTATGCAGCTCTGGGCTTGGTTTGTTCTTATCTGACCATTCCCTAGGTAGCATTTCTTTGCCCCGTTGCCCATAGTCTTCCTCACATTTAGACATGCTCTGGTGACAGAATAGGACAACACACTGGGGAACCATGGGACAATCCAACAATTCAATCTACAGGTAGTCCTTGACTTAACAACAATTGATTTAGTGACCAAAGTTACAGCAGCACTGAAAAAAAGTGACAGGATCATTTTTTTACACTTATGACCATTGCAGCATCCTCAACACAATGCTGATGATCAAACATGATCAAAAATTAGACACTTGTCCACTGACTCGTATTGTCAACAGTCGCAGTATCCCACAATTATATCTTCAGCTTTTGCGACCTCATAATCAGCAAAGTCAACAGGGGAAGCCAGATTCACTTAACAACCATGTTACTAATCTAACAGCTGCAGTGATTCACTTAACAACTGTGGCGAGAAAGGTCGTAAGATGGGCCAAAATTCATTTAGTAAACATCTCACTCAGCAGCAAAAATTTGGGGCTCTGTTGCGGTCATAAGTTGAGAACTACTTGTAATTATTTAAAAAATAATAATTAAGGTTTGCCATTCACATTTCATGTTGTCCCTTCTTTTACATCCTTTCTTTACTGATTCTCTTTCATCATTTCTTCAATTTTAGCGTAAGTCTTCTCTTGCAATGAGTTGGCTGTGGCCAGTTGGCCGTGGTTAGTTGGCTATAGCAAGTTAGCCACAGTGAGTTGTCCTAGGGGTGTCAAACTCAAGGCCTGTGGGCTGGATTCAGCTCACGATATGGACAGATCCGGCCCACGGGGCCGTCCTGGTCTACCCAGTGGGAAGAGGAAAGATCTGGTCAATGTAGCTTCGGCCCAGTTTACCCAGTGGGATCAGGCCAGCGTGGAGTCGGCCCGGTCTACCCAATGCGAAGAGGAAACATGCCAGCAGTTTGGGGAGTGGCATCAAACTGGCCCTGCCCACCAAGTCAGCAATGCCTGCCCGCCCACTGTGATCAACCACAGACCTGATGCAGCCCTCAATAAAATCAAGTTTGACATCCCTGTCCTAGACCCTTCTGGGGAGAAATACTTTAATGACTATGATTGGACTGACTTCAAATCCATATTCTTCCTTTGCTATTATCTGCCCTGCTGCAAGGCTGGATGATTTCCAGGGCATTGTTTACTGGGCATAATTATTCCAGATGTTGGGTTACTTCCTCTGATCGTTAGTTCCTACCTCTCTGGCCAATCAATTTCACAGTCATGAAGATGAACCTGTCAGGTAGCTGTTAAAATTGATGGATGGCTTGGCTGGCTGGCTGAAAATATTTATAGGTGTCCCCCCTCCAACCTCCCCCCTCTGCTTTCCAGATCATCTGTTGATGTGTTGCAAACCATAAGAACAACCTCGCGATGTAAATATAAGAGGCAGCGCAGTAACCCCGAGAGACACACGTCTGAGGGACAACAGACACATGGACACCGTGTCCCAGATACGAGAACGAAAAAGCCAAGCGTTGAAAGGCAAGACAGATATCATGCTTGATATGCCTTGACATCCAAGGAAAGGACAAGGCAGAATCTGTTCACTTGCATGCTCAGCGCATCTCTTGAGTTATGCACTCCAGGAGTCCTCAGTCCTTTTACACTAGGAGATACCAGAAGGTCCTTTCATTCAGGTCCTTGAGCTTAAGGACATACCTTCATATTTGGGGTCCAAGCTACCCCATTTCCCCGAAAATACGACCTACCCGGAAAGTAAGCTCTAGCTTGATTTTGACATGTGTGCCCAAAATAAACCCTACCCCCAAAATAAGCCCTAATTAAGATCCCACCCACTCCAGAGTGGGCGGGTAAATATTAAGCTACGGTGGAGCTGCTCTGCTACTTACTTTTGGACAGTTGTAGCCAGGCCTCGCACACCCCAACACCTGCCTTGCTGGCCCATTTTTTCGGCAGCCGGCAAGGCTTTCCTGAAGGCCTCCGTAGCTGATATGAAAGCTCTGGATCGATCCAGAGCTCCATTAGAGGATGCAGAGGCCTTCAGGAGAAGCCTTGCTGGCTGCAGAAGAAGAAGCTCCTAAAGGCCTCTGACAGCGAAAAGGAGGCCAGAGGCGACATGCACAAGTAAATAAATCGATTTGTAGCTAATTCCTGATTTCTTAATCATGTTTATACTTATACCTATTACCTTGCAAGTGATTGACAAATAAAATAAGATAAAGTAAGTAAATAAGACCTGGTGCCTGTTTGGGTGGCAAAATAATAATAATAATGAGACAGGGTCTTATTTTTGGGGAAACACGTGTATTAAGAACCTTGAATGTTGTTGCTTAAACCAGCATGTTCAACTTTAGCAACTTTAAAATAGGTGGACTTGAATGGCTCGGTGGCTGGGAGAATTCTGGGAGTTGCAGTCCACCCATCTTAAAAGTAGCTGGGGTTTGAGAAACCTTGGCTTAAACCTTGGGAAATGCTGGCTTAAACCTTGAAACCTTGAGAAATGTTGGTTTAAATCTTGAAGTCCAGAAGATATGGACCATTAAGGCGATTCATTTAGAGGCGGTGCTATGTGGTCATAGACTCATAGAGCTGGAAGGGACCTTAGAGGCCTTCTAGTCCAACCCTCTGTCCAAAGTCTCTGCAGGATGTGTAGAATAGATATGGGGGTCATATCTTGCACCAGTTACAGATTTTAAGTCATCACGGGGGGGGGTAGAACACCTCGGAAGATGTGAGACATTTCATTACCCAAACTGGGTAACATCATCAGTGCTCTCTCGTCGGCATTGATGATGTTCCTTAGTTGGGTCATGAAATGTCTGCAAGAAAACTATCAAGCTCAGACAGCACCAAGGACCCTTCAGTCATTCTCCCCTCCTCCTCCTCCTCCTCCTCCCCCCTCCACAAACCCTCCTCCCTTCTAGCACTGATGTTGTTCCCTAGTTGGGTTATGAAACATCTGCAAGAAAACTACCAAGGCTCAGAGAGCACCAAGGACCCCACAGTTCAACTCTGAGCTGCAAATTTCCTGCTTTATTGGTACAACTGGGAGGTTACTGGAGCATGGGTCATAGGTCAGCCTAGGCACAGCTTCCTATGGGTACTCGGGGCCATCAATGGTAATTAAGAACACACTAACGGTGGGCTCCCAAATCACCCCCTACAGACATAGTTGTCTTCTTTTCATGTTCAGGCGGCTCCACATCTCCACCTCTTTGGGTCTACAAATACTGCCATCTCTTTCTCCACAACTCTTCCCTTGTTCTGAGCAGCTCTTTCTCACTTACTCTGTGGGAAGCGGGGAGGATTATCATTGACGTCACTAAGTGTGACCGTGACAGTCGTGCTTCCCGAAAGTCCGCCAGTATGGCCTCCCATGTCCTTGGCCTGCACCACGACAAGAAATTCCTGTTGAGTTTCCCGGTCCATGTTGGGGGTGGCTGTTCGAATCACACCTACGATCACATGGAGAAGGAAGCAAGAAGAGAATCAGAGAAGGAGAATTGGTTGATAGGTCAGGTAGGAAAAGACATTTGGGTTTCAGAGCCCACCTCATGATGGAGAAATGGAGGAAACCAAAATTGTGGACAACCCAAGACACGGCTGAGCACACCACATGCACATCTCGATTGTATGGAGGAACATGGGCAGGTGAACCAAAACTTTCACTGGTCTCTAGGCTCAGGTGATGAGTAGGGTGGATGGGAGAAATGGATGGAAGGATGGAAAGAATGGATGGAAGGAAGGAAGGAAGGAAGGAAGGAAGGAAGGAAGGAAGGAAGGAAGGAAGGAAGGAAGGAAGGA